GATGGATGATTCAATGCTTTGTAAGAACAGTCAATTGTTTAATTATTATTGAATGGACTTCTTATAAATTAATTTTTCTATGAATAAATGTGCTCACTGTGTGATGTTATTATATTAAAATTCTACAATTATTTTTGTGTTCCACAGGGGAAAAATGTGCAGATTTAAAATGTGAGTAAAACTTTTTTAAACATAATAAAATACATTCAATAACGTAAAAAAAAATCAACATTATTTTCTTTTAATTATTTTCACATCTTAAATGTGAGCAATCTTTCATTTTACAGGCATTGAACTGTCTAAACGCTATTTAGTCGTGAATAATTCTGGACCTAATACTTTTGTTTGATTATCTCTAGTATCTTGGGTACATTTTTCTGATGCAAATATTTTATTTTACAGAAAACTATATTGTTGTTTGCATTTACAGCTCTGGGATCAAGACAGAAGATTTACAGCGCAAGATCAAGCAAAACACAACAGAATAAGATGTGTTTGTTATGATGTGAGTATTTTGTATGGTTTCAGCTGTTGTCTGCCCTGTCATAGCTCCCCCTAGCTGTAGCTTTGTATTTCCTTGTTTGTGCAAAGCATTATTTCACTTTCCTGCCGTTTCCAACCCTTAACCAACAGTACCAAAATAATCTCCAAACTCTGTCATGCAAACCTTAATAACACAATCAGGTTGCTGGTGTGGAATATTGCTGTTCTTACCTCTTTAGATTGCTCCCTCCCTCGACTGCACCTCTTCCCAGCAGTCACTGCAGGATGGACAGTTTCACATGAGCTCAGTGTGGAGGGGTGAACAGATGGACTGTACCATTATCCCAAAGTACCCTGCTGTGCTGAATGAAATATTATCTATCTATCTATCTATCTATCTATCTATCTATCTATCTATCTATCTATCTATCTATCTATCTATCTATCTATCCGTCTGTCCGTCCGTCCGTCCGTCCGTCTGTCTGTCTGTCTGTCTCTGTCTGTTATCTATCTGTCTATCTATCTATCTATCTATCTATCTATCTATCTATCTATCTATCTATCTATCTATCTATCTATCTATCTATCTATCTATCTATCTATCTATCTATCTATCTAAAAAATCTCATCACATACTATTTTCTTTTGCCGTGCAATTATAGATTCTGCAGCAGACACTACAAAGTAATGCATAGTTACATAGATTACATAGTAATTGTCTCTCTTTGCTGTTTATATTATTTAGTGAATTTGTTACTGTACATATATTAAATATAATTTTTTCCCCTATCCCTACAATTTTTTACTTGAGCCTATAATGTAGTCACAGTATGAGTTCAAATAGTGTGTTTTTTTTAAACCATACACGTTTTCCCAGACTATGCTCGGTGAAGGATTGCAGTATCTTCTATTCTGTGGACCACACTGCCATCTTGTGACCAAATCATGCACATCAGCAATGCCATGAAGCATGATTTTATAACTAATTGAATCTGATGCTGTTTCAATTCCAAACATTATTGCAGTAATGTATTTGTTCGAGGATTGCTCTGTTTAAACATCCATTGTCTGTCTCTATGGGAAAATGATACTCTCTAGTGCACGTTCACGATACAGATAAATAGTATACAGTATATATAGGAATTAGATTGTAATCAGATGTTGTCCTAATGCGAACCAAATGGTGGCCGATGACGGGGAGGTTAAACGATACACCAATATATCAGTTTTATTGATCTTTTCAGGGCACAATCCGACATCAGGCTTTAATCCCCTGAGTTGTAGGGTATAACTCAAAGCTGAGACATTTAGGAAGTTTGCCACCTAATGAAACCTATACATCTACACTGTGTGTGAGAAAGAGAGAGACAGAAGGAGACCTGCAAGGTTAAACCAATTAAATTTGTGACTTTAAATCCAGTTAAAGAAAAAAAAAAAAAGAGATAATTCATGAGTTCATAAACTGTTATTTTTGACATTACCTGAACCACATTACACACTGGCAACTTGTTTTTGTGAGTGATAGTAGAATGTACTCATTCAGATATTACAGTCGCAGAGCTCATTATGGTAATTAAGATTGGTGGCAGGATTGATAAACATCTGATTTAAGTGATTACACATACTAATGAGCTAACAGTAGACAACAAACATTAAATAAATAAAATGTCAGCAGTGTTGCTATCTGCAGCTACTCTGTGCTTTATGGTGTAGAATATTGTTTTCAGTCTAGGTGTTTATAAAACGCTTCCTTTTTGTGATTGTATTAATTATGTTCTGTTACAACTGTGTCTCTCCAGCAGAGTTTGTGACGCCCCGGGCGATCTTGACGGGTCATGATTGTGAGGTGACGTGTGCGAGTGTGTGTGCAGAGCTGGGACTGGTCATCAGTGGCTGCAGAGGTAAAGCAGACACTAACACTCATCAAACAGTTAGTTAGTTAGTTAGTTAGTTAGTTAGTTAATTTGTTGCTATATCTATATGTATTTCATTTATTAATTTAATAGAAAGTTAGTTCGTTTTTGTTGATATGTTCGCTCTGTCGAATGTGCTTTTTTCATGGCAACGATGGCCAAATTTAACCCAGAGCTACAGTGCTCAGTATAATTGAGCACACCCTATTTTGAAAAATAAATATTTTTATCAATTTTTAGACCGTTATCGTAAGTTATTTTTTTAGATAAGCTTCAGAATTGGCTTCAGTACTGTCTAATCTAATGTATATGCACAAATATAATATTGTATAACTTCCTATTAAAAATATGATTTTAAAAGATAGATTTGTGCGGGATGTACTTATTAATGCTGAGCACTGTATTTTACAAAGTTGCCCTCTAGTTAACACTTTCTAATGTTTTTGTTTTTAATTTGAGCCAAATAATCAAGGCATATATGACTCTGGACCACACAACTAGTTATGAGTCTTTTTTTTTTTATTGAGATTTATGCATCATCTGGTCAGTAATTGTTGTATGGTTTCTCAGAATTGGACAATATTTGACAAATATTTGAAAAAATGTAATTACATTTTAATTTAAAATTGCCTTTTGAAGTTGTTTAGTTTTCTTTCTTAGCAATGCATATTAATCATCAAACATTACGTTTTCATGGACCTTTATAGATCTTCTATACTCTATATACTAATTTATTTTGGCATACAGGGAAATTTGGCTAATGCTAAATATATACCTGTGCAACATAAAACACGATTTTGTGGTCCAGGGTCACATATCTGAATAGAACATTAGCATCAAAAAGTGAGTGCATTTCAATGCTTGTGTTTCATGATCAAAGCACATTTATTAGGTGGTATCTTAGGTGGTTTTATGAATGTAACTATGGCACCATTACCATCCATCTCTAGATTTTTCACTTTCTTTCAACTTCACTGGCTAATTATGATGCTATGACCCTGAGTGATGCTTGACTTTTAGGATCTCACAAGAATAAGAGTGGTATTGGCCAAAAGTCATGTCTGAGGGGAATATTTGCACAAGATTTGTCTTTAATGAGCATATAAGTTTGATTGAACCTACAGGGAAAACTCTAAACTTGGATAAGCTATGAAACTGACAGAATTATTTAGTACCTTGGAAAAGAATAATTTAAAAACAGAGAAAACCAGAATGCTCAAAGGAAATAAAGTGTATATTAAATATAATCAGATATTGTATTGCTTTAGATTTGTATTAGCAGCTATACAAAGCAATAAGCATGTTTCTTTGCATTTTCTTACGAACAGAATTCTGTACTCATGCAGAAAGTTTACGCTCTCTAAACACAACCGTACAAAATGTCTCGAAATTCTACACAAATCTGACTATATTTGACTGAAGTGTGAAGATTTTTACTTTTGGCCATTAACTATTCTTAAAAAGCTTTTCTATGAAACTAGCAGTCCTAATTCCTAAGATGTCTTACTCTAATCATTGCCTCCTCAGATAAGATGTTTTTACCCTGAGAACTGCAAAAAATGCTTTACTTCGATGTTTTTGACTTGTTTCTAGTGCAAATATCTAACCATTCTTAAATCTAGAAGCATTTTCTAACCATTTTCTTGTTTTAAAAAATAAAATGTCAAAATTAAGTGAGTTTTAAAGGGATCTTTTATGCAATAATCACTGTTATAAGAGGTTTAAACAGTTGTTTGGCAACAGTTTGTTTATGTAACCAGCTTTTAATGGTAACGATTTATTAATTTTTAATTTTTATAATCACACTGTATAAAAACAGTTCGCAGAAACACCCACTGCATGACTCTGGTCTACAAGGTTCTTCTGGGTCTGGCGTCTTTATACCCAAGTTCCCTTCTTCATAGGTCAAAAAGCCAGTATGCCCTACATTCACGTGAATCTTATCATTTGACTGTTCCCCGGTTTCAAACTGAAATGGGAAGGTGAGCCTTTAGTCATGCCACCCCCTCATCCTGGAATACACTTCAGTCTGAACTAAAAAATGTCTGAGCTCATCCCATTTAAATTATTTTGCTCCATCCTTTATAATAAACAAAAACAATCCATTTCCTAATGCATGTGTTTTTAACATATTGTAACTTGGTATAGCTAAATAATTAAACTATAATTTTTATATTATCTTTACTTTTTTATTTTTCATTATTATTATTAGTAGTATTATTATTTTTATTATTAAGTCGTGATTTGCAGACCTCTTGGCCAGGTCACCCTTGTAAATGAGATCTTGATCTTATTGGGTTTTTCTCTTGTTAAATAAAGAAACATGTATATATAGTCTGACAATATGCTGACACCGGCATTTGTAGCTCCGCCTAAATCACAGTCGTGTTTGAATTTAAAGCGACACCAAAAATGGCACTATTAGGATCAAAGCCTATAAAAGGCAGTTTCAAAGAGTAAAACATTATTTACATTATAAAACATTATTTTTAGAGTATATTGAGCTGAAACTTTACATACACACACTAGGGACATCATAGACTATATTACATCAACAAAGCAAGCTAAATAATCTGCCAATGGAATAAGCAAAATAACCTTGTTTTTCCTTTTGACATAATACTATATAGCTTACCCCATTGGCAGTTTGTTTTAGCTTGTTTTAAAGATAAACTCACTTAATTTTTATAATTTTTAAAACAATATGTTTTGCCTGTCTTGAAAACACTTCTTGATTTTAAGAATTTTTTGATATTTGACTAGAAACAAGTGAGAAAAGCATTTTTTGCAGTGTACATATGTCAATTATGTTAGTTTCAGCAGACGTGTTAGGTCTCAAAGAAGACATGACCACGTTAGAGTGACAAAGTCGTATCTGATTTGGTTTGACCCTTGTGTTGTCTGTATGTGTTTGATAACAGAGGGTCCCTGTTTGGTCCACTCAATGAACGGTGACCTGTTGAGGACTCTGGAGGGTCCAGACGGCTGTATGCGGCCACGACTTGTTCTGTCCTCCACTGAGGGTCACTGTGTCATTTACTACGACAAGGGCCACTTCTGTGTGTTCAGCATCAATGGAAAGCTATTGGGACATATGGAGGTGGAAGACAACATAAAGGTAAACATGATCTTAAACCGCTCTTTATAAACTATGGAAACCGAGTGGGAAGTTCTTGCATCCTTTTCTTTCTCTCTTTGCATTTCTTTTCTCAGCCTCTGTGTTTTATCATGTCAGCTGTCTGGAGTGTGATTAAATGCTGGCATGATTTGCTTACGGGCCTCCCTCTTTTCCTCTTTCCATCTCTCCTGGCTTCTAAACCCTCAGGGTCTAGATCTGTCCTTTGATCGGCTGGGCCACAAAATGCCACTCAGCCTGCATGTGTGTGTGGGTTTGAGAGTGAGAAAGAGAGCGATATGGCCAGCGGCAAGGCCTCCTGCATTAGAGGACACATTTGTCATTGGCGGGCAGAGCTCCTAAAATCGGCCAGCTCTCTTTTTGTCATTGCCGCTCCATCACTTTCTCTTTCCGTTGGGCCTGGGAAAATTCACAGAGCTCTGCGTCTCCCCCTCTCTCTCTCTCTCTGCGTCCTGCACACACATACCCACACCTGCATCCCATTTAACTGGCCGGCTCTGTTACGCGCTCCCCTGCTCTCTGCTGCACCGCCCTTGATTAGTTTCCTCATCGTGTCCAGGTTCCATTTGTTTTCAATAAACAGAGACTGCAGTGACAGGGCTGAGGGCGCAGCTTCACTCCAAAACACATTTCTGCATTATTTAATAATGCTCTTCTTCATTTAATAGTATTCTGATCTTTGTTAGTTTGTCTATGTACTAATATGTGCTATTTGTACATGTCTGCTAATTTGTTTTAACATTTAACATTTTAATTTAAGGTTTTGTATCATAGATATAAATCATTGAGCTAAATCATTGTAAAAGGACTTTATCCCTTTATTAGTTCACTTATTGAAAACACTCATTAACCTTGGAATGTTATTGGGGGTTATTATAAGGCGTTTGGACTGTAAGACTTAATATTATAAGTAAATTGTAATCAATGTCAGTGATGTTTTTTGCCCAGTAAAAGGTTAAACCTAAGAAGTCTAACCGTTCTGACAGTTTGTGTTATTTGCTAGGAGTGAAGTTACGTTTAAGTGCTCATACACAGGCTTGGTCCTGCAGTCAATATTATAGACTACTCTGCTTTTAATAAAAATAAAATCAATTTAGTTTAGCTGTAGGCCTACATGAGACAATTATAAAGGTTGGATAACCAACCCACTTTTTTGCTTTTTATTTTCTAAAATTAATTTATAAAAACATCAAATAATCAATAAAAAAATTGTCAAAATGTTGTAATTTTCATGTGCATAAATTCACACAACGTGCCTTAATAGACAAAAAAAAAATCATTTGTGAATTATTTTGTAATCATATTTTTTTTTTTGCAAACTATCACAGTCACCTGTCCCAAAACGAAAATCTTGAAAAACTTTTAACATACACTGTAAAAAATAAATTGTTGAGAAAACATAAAAAATAAGGCAACTTGATGCAGTAAGAAATTTAAGTTGTCTCAACAACAGTTTTTCTCAGTAATTTTTTTTTGTTTAGCTGACATAATTCTGTTTATTTATGCAATTTTGATAATTGTATTTTACTAATAAACATTATTTTCACATCGACTGAAGCAGTTGACAGTTACTGCTATTGAGTCAATAATTTTTTTCTGGATGTTTTTCAAGTATTTAGTTCTAGTTAGCATATCCTCCTGTTTTTAATAATTTTACTTAAAAATGAACACAAACTTACTACTTACTTCATCCATTCATTTATTCATTTATTAATTTTCCTTTGGCTTAGTTCCTTTATTCATCAGGGTCACCACAATGGAATGGACCGCTAACTTATCCAGCATATGTTTTACACAGCAGATGCCCTTCCAGCTGCAACCCAGGATTGGCAAACACCCATTCACACTCAGACACCTGTACCTCATGTCTTTGAACTGTGGCAGAAACCGGAGCACCCGGAGAAAACGCATGCGTGAATTATTTAAATAATAATAATAATATTTTTTATTTATATAGCGCCTGTCCAGAGCTCAAGGACACTTTACAAAGAATGCGACAAGAAGAGATGGTACAGGCAGATCAAAGATACACAAACATACAGGAAGTCAAATATAGCAAACTTTAATTACAAAAACAGACCTAAGAGACAAATGAGCAGAGTGCGGCTGGCTCAGATAAAGTGGTCGGTTTGGCAGATCAGAAGAGTAGTATTCTAAAAACAATTGAGTTTTAAGTAAGGATTTGAATTCAGAGATATTATAAGCAGAGCGGAGTGAGCGTGGTAGAGAGTTCCAGAGTTTGGGTGCAATAATACGAAATGATCTGCCCCCCATTGAAGAGAGGCGTACCAAGGGACAGCGAGAAGGCCAGAGTCAGCGGAAAGTAATGAACAAGTTTTGGTGTAGGGGACAAGCATGTTGCAGAGATAGGAGGGATCTAGGCTATTTAGGGATCTAAATGCAAGGAGGAAATTTTAGAATTTAATGCAATATGCAACTGGGAGAGAATGGAGGTCACATCAACAGTTCTGTTCAACACAAAAATGTTTATCAAAAAACTCTGTTAAACATGTAGACATAACATTTTAGAGAATATTGTTTACATAACATATATTTTTTTGTAATCAATTCTTATTCACAATTCTTAGTATACAGTTGAAGTCAGAATTATAAGCCTCCCTGAATTATTAGCGCCCCTGTTTATTTTTTTCCCCAATTTCTGTTCTGTTCTGGGAAGATTGTTTCAGCACATTTCTAAGCATAATAGTTTTAAAAACTTATTTCTAATAACTGATTTATTTTATCTTTTCCATGATGACAGTAAATATTATTTTACTAGATATTTTTCAAGACACTTCTATACAGCTTAAAGTGACATTAAAAGGCTTAACTAGGTTAATAATTTAAACTAGGCAGGTTAGGGTAATTACTCAAGTTATTGTATAACGATGGTTTGTTCTGTAGATTATCGAGAAAAAAAAATTAGCTTAAAGGGGCTAATAATTTTGTCCCAAAAATGTTTTTTTTTTAATTAATAACTGCTTTTCTTCTTGCCGAAATAAAACAAATAAGACTTTCTCCAGAAGAAAAAATATTATCAGACATACTGTGAAAATTTCATTGCTCTTAAAAATAATTTGGGAAATATTTAAAAAAGAAAATCTAAATTAAAAGGGGGCTAATAATTCTGACCTCAACTGTATATTTCAGAAAAAGTACAGTGTGCTGAACAAATAGTGTTTTTGTTTTTTACAGTGCACTGACACAACTCGGCTCATGCCAGATGGAGTGTCATCTTAGTGTCAGTGTGTGTGTGTTTGTGCAGTTAGAGGGTATACTGTATGTGGTTTTGCGTTGGAGTTTGTGGGTCGCCGAGACAGTCTGATGCCGCAGTTAAAGTGAGTCTTTATGCTGATGGCTTGACAGAACATTAATTTGGACAAGTAGAAATAATGCATGAATGACTCTCCGGAGCCCACAACTGAACGTCTCTCTGTTAGTAACCATTTTAGCAGACATTTCCCGAGCCGTCTGCACATACGCAATGGACTGCATTAAAGTCTTCATAAATCCAGTCTTTACTTGTGCCAGACATATCCTGACCTAACACAGACAGATCAGCAGATCAGCAGAAAAAAATCACAGTGGGGCATCATCCAACACAACCCTGTTGTTTAAAATCACAGCCTGACTGTAAGTCAGACATCTGAGTCACGGCGGCCATCTTGGAGCATTGTGGAATGGCGGCCCTGGAGGAGAGTGCTGATTTATGATTGTGACCTGACCCGCTCAGAAACGTGGACATCACTGCTTCTCACAGACCCTTTTCCAGACATGGTCCAGAGGGACCACCATGTATGCTGGATTATGTACTGATATATTATCTCGGACGTCTTTGAAGTAATAAGGCACATTAGAACAGAAAACTAAATTCATGTTGCAGCAGTGACCAAACATTATTATCCAATCACAGCACAGTCACAGGGTGGAGAGTGAATCAACTCAAACTGCGGGATTTTGGGATGATTCAATTAAGGGTACTATGGATTCTTAAAGGGATAGTTCACCCCCAAAAACATTAAATAACATTTTACTCACTATTTACTCACCCCAAGTGGATTCACACCCTTATGGATTTCTTTCTACATTTAAACACAAAAGAAGATATTTTAAAAAAATGTTTAGAAGCCTGTAACCATTGACTTCCATTGCAAGGTTTAATAGTTTAAGATTTTTCGTTTGTTTGTTTCGTTTTGACCCTTTGTTTTAAAATTCAGTTTGTTTTAATTAGTTTTTAGAGAGAGATTTACTAGTTTCTATTAGTTTTTATATTTTTGAAATTGCTTAGTTTTAGCTTAGTTTTTATTAGTTTCAGTATTAGTTTTCACATATGCGCGTTATTGTGAGTTCACTCGTTCTCAAATTTGATCTCTGTGTACTGTTCTAATAACTGAATAACTCAGCATGTTAAAAAGTAAGTCTTTGTGGATAAGTGCTTACTGGAGACGCGAATCGTTTCAAATGATTCAGTTCAAATTGGTGAACTAGTTCAACCGGTTCGCTAAAAAGATCTGGTTAAAAAGAATGATTGTTTTACGAATCGGGAACAATGATACAGAAATTAAACCCATTATTGGACACAAATATGTTAAATTAATACTTCAAAGTGTCTGCTTGGGTCATATTTATGCTGTCACCGTGCTGCTGTCATGTCCAGATGTTATTTTGATGTTATTTTGTCATGGGAGCAACAGCGGGGGCTTACTAGAGGAGGACCAGCTTGATCTGGCCAATAGTAGCAGGATTACAGATGTGCTGAACGGCCATGAGTATGGCTCAAACAACGGGCGTAAAACTGGCATCGCTAAGTAAATAGATTTACTTCTAATAGGCATACAGTAGGCTTATGTATTAAATACATTTACAAAGATGAAAACAAAGTACGATTTTGCTATAATTTTATTTAGTTTCAGTAGTTTTGTATGTACACAATACAGTTTCAGTTAGTTTTGTATGTACACAATACAGTTCTAGTTTTTAAAAACTCTCGTTTTTTATTTATTTCAGTTAATGAAAATAATTTTTCATTTCTAGTTTTTGCTTTTTTATTCGATTTCGTTAATTATAATAACCTTGTTCCATTGTAGGAAAAACAAATACTATAGAAGCCAAAGGTTATAGTTTTCCAACAATTTACAAATATATTCTTTTGTGTTCAACAGAAAAACTTATGGCTGCTGGAAAACCTTGAATATTCTTGAATTTAAATATAGTGATTTCAAGATTTAAATAGTGCTTAGATTTAGGCAAAGTGCTTGAAAGTTATTAAAAATTTAAAAATAATTTGTTACCAAAGATGTTATTATAATTAACTTTTTAAATAAACTTGACAATTTAATTCTGGAGTTTGGACATGTGCCTGTAGCATGATCTGGCCATCTACGCCCTTTGCTTAAGTAGGGGGACAAGAAAAAATGCATAAAAATTACAGCTTCATTAGTGAAAAATGCATGAAATTAAACTAAATCTAAATTAAAATAGAAAGATGACACACATGTGAGTAAATGACAGTGAATTCAATGCTGGGCTTGGGGCCATCAAATATTTTTCTAAGAATACTGTACTGTCTAGAATACTGTAGCAAATGGCATCTGATTTATTGTGATGAAGTATGTATTTGTTTGTATATATATAACTTGCCATACTTGTAAAGTTCTAGTTTAGTTCTTAATTTAAATGCAATTATAATATATATTTTTTAAATCAGGTTTTTAAATTTGGCTTTGGAAAAGTTGTAAAAACCCTGTTATTGTCTTGCTATCATGAAATGAGACTCTCTAGTGAAGTTTCCCTTATGTAAAATTCAAATCTCAGATGTCTATTCTGAGGTTCCGCTTCATACCATGACTGAAATAAAGTTTTCATATGGTTTTGCCACAGTGTAACCTGAACTCGAATAACACACTTGTCATATACATCCAAACCAAATCAAGAGATCAGATGCTAGCAGACTCATAGACCAGCTGCCGTAGCAATGTGAGGGTGCTGGAGCGGGATCTAGCAGAGCAGTCTGTGTGATTGATTCTGCCTGTTTCACTCATCACACTGCATGTAGAGAAGGAGAAGAGTCTGTGTGAAGGGAGAAGAGCATCAAAGTTTACTTTTTTTTTTTTATTTTAGCTTATGGTAGATGTATGAGTTTAGTGCATGCTGTTTTAATTGGTCAGTCAGTTTTTTTTTCTCCTTAATTTATACAATATTGTAGAGAAAACAGATGGGCTGGTTTTTCAGTTATGTAGCCTATTTGAAAGTCAGTGTAAATTTATTATATTCAAAAATACTTATTAGGATACAAATCACATAAAAGACTGAACAAAAAATGGTTTACAAATAAATAGACATAAAATATTTATAAAAAATAAAAACAGAAAATGGGTGGCACGGTGGCTCAGTGGTTAGCAGTGTTGCCTCACAGCAAGGTGGTCACTGATTCGAGCACCAGCTGGGTCAGTTGGCATTTCTGTGTAGAGTTTGCATGTTCTCCCTGTGTTTGCGTGGGTTTCCTTTGGGTGCTTCGGCTTCCCCCACACTCCAAAAACATGCGCTTTTGGCTGGAAGGGCATCCAAAACAAATGCTGGATAAGTTGGCGATTCATTCCACTGTGGCAACCCCTGATCAATAAAAGGACTAAGCCAGAAAGAAAATGAATGAATAAATGAACAACTGAAAAAAATGAACCTGTAAAAAAATAAAAACTAGACTAAAAACTAAACTACACTATAAATTAAATTAACAGCAAATTAATTTTATTTAATGATTAATAATTAACAATTCAAACAAATAATAAATTACAATTGTTACTAAATAATACTAAAAATTAACAACTATTGTAAATAATTTCTCAGTGGATCCAGTGGTTCTCAGTATACACAAGACATAGGCTGATGCTATTTAAATTAATACAGAAATCGTGGGGACATTATTTAAAATATATATTGCACTATTTATATAATAACTATTCAATAGCATATATTTAAAAATGACACATAAATATAAAATAATAAAATAAATATAAATTTAAAAAATGCAGGCTATTTTATATTCATATGTAATTATTTTGTTCAGTAACAAAACAAATCAATAAAATATAATATATAAATATTGATAATGATAATAATAATAATAATAATAATAATAATAATAATATTTCAGTTAAAATATAATTTGCTTTTGTTATATACAGTAATCACTGTTGTCAAAATGAATGTTTGGTAATTTATGCATTTATTTACTTTTATCAAAAGCGTCATTTAAATATCATAATAATAATAGTGCTTTGCAATCAGCACACTGTAAAAAAAGAAAATTGATACATTCATTTTGCTTGGATTTATGATTATAATCAAATCAAGACCTTGTGACATCTAACTCCAGTTCATCGGCCCATTCTACTTTTTGCTGTAAGCTTCACCTGTTTAAGGACCTGAACTATTCATTAAACCCTGTAAAGGAAAATTACCGGTTAATGCAATAAGTCAAGCTTATATATTTAGTCTAATTAATTACAATTAATGGCCACTTTGCTAGCACGCTGTGTCATTACTACATATTGCATAGAGGTGTGTGTGTTGATGTAGTGAATGAAAGACTCCAGTGTGTTTGCTGTTCTATATTATCTGTGTTTCTCATGGGAACTCTAAAGTGTTACACAGCCCATGTGCGCACAGGAAAACCAGATGAACAGAATAAATCTCGTACTCTGTCTGGCCTTCGCCGCGGGACACCACCACTGTAGCGCTTTCAGAAACAAACTGTTCGCCAGCTCGGCCCCGTGCATGCTGGGAAAGAACGGGGGTTGCGTGCTTTTTGATTGGCCCTGGCCGCTGCTGGCAGGGCATGTTCGCTCTGAGGTCCACAGGGGTGTCAGTAAACCCCTGTAATCAGCGGCCAGCCGGATGTTCCAGACGTTCATCACCCGCTACAAAGAGCTTATTCAGTGAGCCCAGAGCATTTCAACCAGCACAAGCTTATCAGTGTCGTTTATCATCACAGAACATGAAAGACTGCTATAAGGTCAGGGGTCCGTTTCAGGGGTCAATTGCTTTTTATATATGCAGTTATTTTTTAACTATTATGATATCATATCTCCTTTTTATTCTGCGCCACATGAAACTTGTGTGAACTTCCATGAAACTATAAACAATCATTGAAGTGTTTTTAAAAAAGTACAGTAACGTGCCATTATTTTCATCACAGTTCATCCATCTAATATTAGATGGACATTTATTAGAATTTACCTCACAATTAAACCTAAAACCCTCTGCTTTTAGGGTTAGGGTTAACCCTTAAAAAAACAACCACTGCAAATAAAAGAGAAAATAATATGGAGGAACAAAAGAGTTCTGGAACAGATATTCATGTGATACTAATGTTACAAACAAATATCAAATGTAATTAGACATATGCCGATATTCGGTAATGCAATGTATTGGGACAGTGAGCATGCACAATGCTGAACTTCTAAATACAGCGAATAGTTACTTATTATTTGAACTATTTTTTTTTTTTAAAGAATATTTGCTTGTAATTGATTAGGTGTTTATAACAGCTCCAAATGCTTGAGGACTTAATTGGTTATCTCAATACTTCAAACATTTTTACATGTTATTCTAGCCTACTTTGCTGAATTAGTGATTGAAATTCTGTGAATATTAATAGAGCTATTGTTTTTACTGAACACTGTTCAATAAGTATCCAATACTTAACATTAATTCATTCATTTTCTTTTGACTTAGTCTCTTATTTATCATGGATCACCACAGCGGAATCAACCGCCTCTAATAGGTAACATTAGCTGATATAACTAAACTCACAAGGAAAACCACAAAAGCTTTAATAATCTTAATTTCTTAGTTGATGCCTAATAACATGTTTAAATTGTAGTGGTTATCTGGTTATTGGTCACGTTGACTGCTGATTCACTGGTATCATTAATGTTCTTAAAAAAACTGAGCTCTTTCTGTGTAGAAAAACATATACTGAGAACTTTTTATACCAGCTATATCGAGAGTTTAAGCTTTTCAAAAATTACCTTTAAAACTTAGTCAAGACTTGCTCCAACAATATTGGTTTCCTCTGCAGAGTCTAGCAGAGTTACACGAACAGCAAATGTTAAGGAAAACTCAAAGTGTGATAGGAGATGACTCCCATCCTCTAAAGCCTTTTTTTTGTTCTGTTGCCCTCTGGAAGAAGGTTTAGAAGCATCAAATGCTCTTCTAACATGTATAAATTTATCTTTGTTCCTGGGGCAATAAGGCTTCACAAACTTACATTTTAGCAAGTTTTAAATGTAACTTTTTAATATATGGGTCTTGCCTATGTTTTAGTACTATTTATGAGTTTATAAGTTGTTAAACTATAATTTAAACTTATTACAAAGAAAAATGAAAACTTTTCTCTCCTGGGAACACTTAAAAACAAATCCCTCTCCCTTCCTAACCCAGCTCTGATAAATAGATTACATTTAATTATAAAGTAGAATCATGCTTTCTTTTTGTAAAACTGCTTATTATGGCTTTATATATTTTATGTTTTTACTGTGAAGCAAAAAAATTCTGTAAAATATTATTGCTTGACTTGTGTTTTACCAGGAATTTAACAAAAGAGTATGTACTCAAACGTACATGAATGATACTGAATATGTGTGCTAGACAGAAGGTCTCACTGTTGTGTGTTTGTGTGTGTTTTTCTGCAGGCGATGCTGCTGAGTAAAGATGGCCAGTATCTGCTGTGTGGAGGAGATGCAGGAGTTCTCAATGTCTGGCAGATTCACGACCTCAAACAGCTCTTCACTTACCCAGGCTGTGATGCTGGAATACGCTCTATGGCTATTGCACATGACCAAAGGTAAAGCACAAACACATTTTTAGTTTCTACAACTGAATATTGAAAGTGTAGAGTCATTCTGAAGAGATGGGATAATCACAACATATAGTATACAGTATATATGGACGGGGTCTGAACATGTCTTAAATATCAAAGCTTTTGCCCTTAAGACTTGAGTTCACTGAAATATTGTATTGTAGGTCTTAAATCATCTCAAAGGGGTCTTTTTTTTTTGGCCCTGTTAAGCTATTCAATAGGAACAACACCTTTCCAATCATCAACAATGCATCTCAATAAAACTTTAAGCAAACCTTTATTTGCCAATGTGGTTTAATTAGCTTCCTTACAATACCATTTGTTTAAAAGCTCTCTGTGTGTTTACTGTATAGACCATATATGGTGAGGACAATGATGTGGACAGATGTGCATACATTTAGTTTATTACTGTTTTTAAAGCTTGCCATTTGAAAAAAAAAAAAGAAAAGAAAGGAAAAGTCATGTTGGGGTAAAAACATGTGTACGGGGTTGCTTATTTTGGCACATTGTAAAAACTTGTGGCTAAGAAATAACTAATTAGAATTGTTTTGATAGGGCAAGTAAAAATCCTTTCCGCTGCCCCATTAGAAAAAAATTCTTACCACCTAGTCTTGTATAAGTATATCTATAATATTCCTGGGTCAAACTTTCATATTTCGTCAATCTGCCCTGTTTTAAGTAATAACCAGTCTGGAAATGTATGTCTAGTTTTAGGCAGTTAAAATGTTTTAGTCATTCTGCATAATGGTTAAATTGATAATTTAAGTTTGCTGATAACTATTTTTGTCATCCAAGAAATTATAGTATTTATTTTATTTCACAGGAAACGAACAATACTATAAAAACATACATACTATAATACTATACTATACTATACTATACTATACTATACTATACTATACTATACTATACTATACTGTACTATACTGTATTCTGTAAAGGGTCTACGGATGAAAAATAGCCATTCTTGGCTAATTCTGGCACATTTTACAGTAATGTTTATTAATGTGCATTGACCCTGTAAACAAATAAACTAAACTAAACTATACTGTACTATACTATGCTATACTATACTATACTATACGTACGGGACATTGTATCAAAAACGTACATTATCTGTCCCTGAAATAAAAACATAAAAACGGTGAATTAAAAGTATTTCATTCCACAAACTTCTAAAAATAGATTTCTGTGTGTTGGTCTGGAAAGGAATATGTCGTTCTTTTGATTCTCAGATTTTTTTTTTCTTTATTAAAAACACTTTACAAATTTACAAACCCTGTCCTTGTCCAACTGAACCTACAGCTTTAATAGTTTTCTTGTACCAAAAGCTGTTATTTAGAAAAAAAACATCAGAAAGTTTTAGTTGTTCTCATTCACAACAATTGATTAAAGACATAAAATAACAAATTAATTCTACAAGTAAATACTAAAATATAGTATACAAATATATTTACAGTTGTCCCCATGTTTCTGTCAGTCCTGTCACATTTGCATTTAATTTAACATAAAATGCGTGCAATACATCAGAAAATGTGCATTTCTGGTAAAATGTCCCATACATACTGTAATTAAGTTAAATGGCTGTCTGGGCATCGGGAAGAAAAAGGCAGAGAACCGATGGACTTTTAAATAATTTATAATGAAATAATAAAACAAACTTATGGGGACTGCCATCAAACTGAAAGTAAAATTAAAACATAAAGTGTCCAGGCCTGGTCCTCTCTCCTTCCACCGATGTCTCTCCTTCTTTGTATAATCCAGAGCACCCCTGTGGGACTTGAAGCCGGTGTGCCGCTCAGGTGTTTCGCGTCACCACTCAACCGCAGAACTCATTGTATTACCACGGTTCTCTGCCCTGCCCAATCGACACACATACATGCTAAAATATTATATGATTACTTTTAGATAATATACTCTATAATGTCAACTGGTAGACTTTAAAAGCTCTCCTAAAATTTAAAACTGGCATTTATTCCATTTTCATTTAAATTGTTTTCTTAAACAACAGTCCATGTGGTGGTAGTATCTGGACAATAGTGCTTTAAAATCAGGTAAATTAAAAAGGTATTAAAAAAAATCATAGTTTTAATAAAATAAAAAAACACTAGTCTATAACTGTAGTCTCTAAATGATTCTCTACAAATAAAGTGCATTTTAGGTAATAGCTAATAGAGATATTAAAAAAATTTAGGTGAGCAAGTTAAAAATGTATTCTTGAAATTTAATATTCCTTTTTTTTTTACAGTCAAATAGAATCAAGAATCAGACAATACAGTTTCCAAAAAATTAGTGTGTAGGAAGATTCTCATGCTCAAAAACGACAAAAAATAAGGTCAAGAATCTTGGTGTGACTCTGGAGTCAGATCTGAGTTTCAACAGTCATGTCAAAGCAGTCAGTAAATCAGCATACTATCATCTCAAAAACATAGCAAGAATCAGATGCTTTGTTTCTAGTGAAGATTTAGAAAAACTTGTTCATGCTTTTATCAGCAGCAGGGTGGATTACTGTAATGGACTCCTCACTGGTCTTCCTAAAAAGACAGTCAGACAGTTGCAGCTCATCCAGAACGCTGCAGCCAGAATTCTAACCAGAACCAGAAAATCAGAGCACATCACACCTGTCCTTAGGTCTTTACACTGGCTGCCAGTTACATTCAGAATAGATTTTAAAGTATTATTACTGGTCTATAAATCACTAAATGGCCTAGGACCTAAATACATCACAGATATGCTCACTGAATACAGACCTAACAGATCACTCAGATCTTTAGGATCATATAAACTAGAAGTTCCAAGAGTTCAGTCAAAGCAGTTCAGTCAAAGCAAAGCAGATGTGCTCCAACATTAGGCACATTCAAATCAAGACTGAAAACACATCTGTTTAGCTGTGCCTTTACTGAATGAGCACTGTGCTGCGTCCGACAGATTGCACTATCATGTTTTTCTCTTCTTCTTCATTCTTTATATCACATTTTACCTGTTTTTATGTTTTGTTTTGTTTTTATGCATTTTTATTATTTGTTTTTATTTTAATTTTTACTTGTTTCTTTTATTCTTCTTTATGTAAAGCACTTTGAATTGCCATTGTGTATGAAATGTGCTATATAAATAAACTTGCCTTGCCTTGCCTTGCCTTGCTCACCAAGGCTGCTTTTTTAGATCAAAAATCCATTGAAAAAATCCTCCTAAAATTAACATTATTTCTGTAATAGCAAAACTCATTTTTGGCAAACTTTTAAGTGCTGAATGATTCTTTAGAAGTCCTTCCAATATGCTGATCTAATGTTGTAGTAAACTGTTATTAAGCAGTTTGTAAAGCAGATGTGCTAATGAATATATGTGCCTGTTCTGAATTTAAAGACCAAATTTATCAGATTATTGGTGAAGTGAAACAAGAAAAAAGATCAATTCTAAAAAAGTTTCTTAAATAACGATATTAAAACAATAAATTAAAAATATATTATATCATACTAAGTGTGTATTTTGCTTAATAAGTTTGAATTATTTTACATTTGTTAGTTGATACCTCAAAAAAAAAAAAAAAAAAAAGCTTCCAGTAAGATTTTGTTCAGATGCAATATCAAACATTACCAACAGATGGCATCTTGGCTCTATTGATGACCATATAAGGGCATTTTCATGTGTCTCAGGTAAATTAAAACGGTATTAAGGGCTGTTTTCATATGTCTCACATTATATATGAATTAGACATCCGGTTCTAAAATAGTAGGAGCGAGAACTCAGACTGAGAATGTATTGTTTTTTAATTGTGTAATTTACATTTTGGACATTAAAAATAATAACAAATATAAAATATAGAATGGATTTTTTTAACTGCCAGAATTAAATGATTTGATATGTGCATTGCTGTAGCAAATGAATGACCATTAATTACTCAGTGAGTCATTTAAAAAAATGCCACAGCTGTAAGCCCAAGATGAAAAATTAAGTAAATAAAAAGCAGGAATCAATAATGCAACAAATGTTCTTAGTCTCCCATAAATGAACTCTGCAGTCTAAATATTAGTGTTTCTCTGTCACTTCCAGATGCATCATCACTGGCATGGCGTCAGGGAGCATCGTTCTGTTCTACAACGACTTCAACAGATGGCATCATGAATACCAGACCCGATACTGACCCAGAGGAACACCCGCCACCCTTCAGAAAGGCACTACCAATAGTCATGAATGTATTCTACATATTTAAAGAAGCAAAACTATTTTTCAAGATAGCATTGCTATATTTTGTAGATCTTATGGAATTTCTTACTATCTAAATCGTAGGGGCTGGGGTTATATACTTAATATTTGGAGAAAGAAAAAGAAATCTATTTTTAGCTGTCAAAGTCCTATTTTCACCATTGCTCTATTGAAAAAGACTGGTTTGAGTGGTCAACAGCCTTTCTTTCTTTCTTTTTAGTGTCTATAGATAGATGACTTTTTGCTTTTATTTAAATTGGGATGGGTGAGCTTTTTTTCTTCTCAGTTGCTGTGGGTGTTTTTTTTTTTTTTTTTTTTTTTTTTTTGACAAGGCGCCCCTAAATGTCACATTTCATATCTATAAGTTGACTTCCTGGAGCTAACAGGAAACTGCCTCGATTTTTGGGAGAAATAAATTCCTATTACATTATATCCATAGATTAAATTAGGTAGCTGTCTGCAAACATATCAAAGCGTCCACTTTAAACATTCACTTTATGAATGGAGAAGTGACCTCTTTTCTAATGCATTTCTCAATTTTATTGTCAGTGAGTTTTGCTTTGTTAAAGATGAATGGACCTCTTGTGTGATCACAAAATGATGTCACTTTATAAACTGAAGGGGCGAATCAATATATGAAGGGAGAGCAATTTAGAAAATGATGTTAATCATACTCGTAATTCATGAGAGAGGTGATTTGGTGTGTTTCTATCTATCTTTTGATCTTTTCTGTTTGTTTATTGTGAGCTCCATATCTATCAAGTGTTCCAGAACTGAACACATTTTCTTTTCTTTTGGGGATAAGGGATAATGGAGAGAGTGAAGAGGGGAAAATATTCAGATCCATTTAAAGCTTCATCAAACCTTTTTGAAATTTCACCATTGTGCATTTACCCTTGGTGTATGTAGACTGAATCTGGCCAGAGCGCAATACTATTGCCGTACTAGCTATCTGAAATCAGGAAATAAACAAGCAGACGTTAAAATATGATCATAACACAGCTAGCTCGAAGTATAAACCCCACAAATCACACTCAGGGCAAGCAGAGGTCTGTGAAATTACAAAAAAAAAAAAAAAAAAAATGAAATCTCGGTTTGTGTTAACTAAGGTGTGACGAATGCTGTCTGATTCATTTGTTTGGTTTTAATAGTTGTCGCTATCATTGCTGTTATCTCATGTTATTTCCCAGCTGAATGGCAATCAGTTTGGAATGAGCGTTATATGATGTGTGTGATGAACTCAAACAATAAAGTGGCATTTTGTAACAATACAAACAGTTTTTTGTGTGCATATGTGTGTGGTTTAAGTTAATAATAACTCAGAAAAAAAATATAATACAAAAAGAGCAATTAAAAACGTCAAATTTGGCAAAAATAAATACACGCAGTATATGTTATGTCCACAAGAGGTCATCATAACCAAGTTTAAATAAGTCAACACCTGATTCAATTTAGTAGTGCATTAGCAGATTTAGTTTTATAGTCTAGGACTCGGATCACAAAACTTGTTCCTGGAGGGCCGGTGCACCGGTCCTGCAGATTTTAGCTCCAACCATAATCAAACACACCTGAACAAGCCAATCAAGGTATTACTAGGTATACTTGAAACACCCAGGCAGGTGTGTTGAGGCAAGTTGGAGCTAAACCCTGCAGAGCACCGGACCTCCAGGAATAAGATTGGTGACCCCTGGTCTAGGAACTTGACGTGGGATTGGCCTACCAAATGATTATACTTGATTGAGATGTAAATAAAGGAAAATAAAGGTTTGTTTACATTTATTTAATATTTTTTAGGTTTTAAGTCTACATAAAAAAATAAATGCACTCACATACATGCGTATTGTGCCAAACTCTATTCATGTCTCCCTATTTCAATTGGTCTGGTAGAAAGAGGCATGCGTGAGGTTAAAGGATTAACTGTTCAGTGTCTGGCCAAATAAAATCAGTTGATATCGTAGATATCAGCAGCTACAGAAGAAACAAGTGATAAAGAACTGTGTAGCCTCCTGCTGGCAACATTGAGAATTGTGGGCTATATGCCAATATAAAGACTATATTTCTTACCAATACTAGTTAATCTAGTCGTATAGTTTTATTTCTATTCTGCTAACATTTAAGAATAAAATGATTCTTAGAGATGACTATATCAAACAATGTCTTATGACAGAAATGGACATTGTACAGACAATTTCCTAATTATATCATAATGTTATGTTGATTTAGAATTGGCTACATGTGTCTGTAAATCTGTTGACGGGTGTCAAGGTCATCTGAAATCTTTGTAAGGGGTTAGACCCACATTGAAGCTGTTGTATTAGTTGTAATCTTTAGTTACGTTTACAGCATGTTGTGATGTAATTCAAATAAAATCAGCTAAATAGATTTAAGCATCCATTTGGTTGTTAAAGTGTGAAAAAAAGATGCAAGCAGCGTCATGAGCAGCAGGCTAGCGCAAAAGCTTCATTGAAAATACTAGAGTCAAATTAATTTCCATATTTTAAAGATGGTGCAGAAAAATGGAATTTAATGCAGTGCTTCTTGTTTGGTCTGATACCTACTTAATATTGTATCTCAGCCAGGTAGTGATGAAGCCAGCCTGGTGAAAGGGGTGATTCTTTTTCTCATAATTTGACTCTTTTGCAATTATTCGCATCATTTTTTATTTAATGGTGACATTTAAATATTGCATTTAAGTGCAATTTTTAGCACTATTTTTAGCTGGATTAGCTTGTGGGATGGCCATCAAAACCACACATTATAATGTTCCAAAAGATATTAGTTAAATATTTAAAATAAACAATAATAGCCAAATTACTATTCAAATTCATTTTAATATGAGCCGCTTTTGGTGCTTCACACCTTATTATTGCTCATTTTTTGTTTCAAGAATAACGTCCAAGATTTAGAATAAAAAGTTACTTGTAAAATCTTTCCTCCATTTCAAAACAATACAGTAGTGAGAGATGACTTCACTTACGTCAGATTGTGTGTTTTCTTGCTGGTTGTTAAACTCATGAAAACTTGTTTGCACTGGCCAAAACTGATTAGCTGAAGTCACACTGAAGCCACAGCCGACTTGCACGCTTGCTCTTACTGACTTTTTCTATGGGTTATTTTCAAATTAATTAAAAAAATTAAATGAAAGAGAAATTCAAAGTTTGTGTGCATATATCTCATTGCATGTGAACATTTTGTATCTGTATCACCAATTTAGTTGAGTTTACACCACATGTATGTATATT